ATCCGAGTGGTGGAGGATGGCTCTGTGATGCCGCCGGTGTCATAGGGTGCTTCTGTCTCCAGTGTTTGATCCTCCTTGAGCTCTGTCCGGCTGGTTGTGGGATCCCCCAGTGCAGTGGTCACGGTGCGTTTAGTCCTGCTTCTGACTGTATTACTGTGGTGCGTCACGGCTCTGCTCTGGGTCCAGACCGGCACAGTTAGGGTGGTCATTTCCCCTGTGGACTTCACTGCTGAAACTGTGGATGGGCCTGGAGAAAGAGACGGATGTTAGTCTGTTTTTTCTAAAGAGTGCAAAACTGGCAGGTTTATGGGGCAATTCATTGAAATTAAATCACAAACACACTTGAGCAAAGGTGCGATTGTCATGCACATCTTGTCAGGGAAGCACAGTTCTGAGATCAGCTGTAAATCTCCAGCTGAAGGCCAGAGGGCGCTCTCACACAGAAACTACAAACACCCACAACAAAGAAAACAGTCCTCATAGCGCTGCTCCACCTGAAAGCACCTGCTGGAGGTTTACTAGAACCAGCTTTACTGACAAAATGCAGAAACATTGCCCTTGATTACTCGCCTGAACCCAGGAAAACATGAATGTGGTAAAAGCACACGCAGTGCATAATGACATTACATTACTCCTTGCACAGGAATAAGTGCTGTGCGTGAGTGTCATGTGGTGGGGGAGTGTCAGCTTACCTAGGATTGGGCACAGAGGCGTGGTTTGCCGTCGTCCTCCAGAGTCCAGCGTGATCATGGACCAGTTGGAGTGTTTCTGCTGGTGGTGGACTATGACCCAAGTGCCCTGTTTGTGCAGGAACATGGGCGTCTCTGCTAGCCCGAGGGTCCCGCGGGGATTGTAGCAGCTCCAGGCGGGCGCAGCGGCACAGTGACTCAGTCTGAGCAGGCGGGCATGGCGCGGGACGCTGGAGCTCTGGTTCACCCACAGACAGCTGGAGCTCAGCGTGTGGTTCAGCTTCAGACTGCTGGTCCACGTCCACTGCTGGGCCGGACTGTGCTCATCACATCGCCACAGGACCACTGCACCCTTCTGAGAGCTCAGACACACGCCCTTACTAGTGTGCGCGATCAGAAAACCACCTGCAGGAGACAATCCAGATCACTGAATGAGGAAACGGGGCTCAGTAAACTGATGATTTCTCATGGGCTTTAGCATCTCATGAATTAAACAGACATTTAAATCTAACAGATGAAACTCAAACATCAAATAGACGTCTTTATGATGTTAGTGTGCCGTCAGGAATCTCTGAATAAGAAAAGAACTGCCAGATAACACATTACTTCTGTTTAGTCTGGAAAACATCTGCTGTGGTCAAAGGTCTGATGAACATCTTTATAAGGTCTGCTGAATAAACATTCCACATATTAGACACCTCAAAGATCTCAAAGATGTCTATTTAATATCTGCACATGGACATCAGATAGATGTTTTATAGATGTATGTCTTACGTAAACACAAACATCAAATATATGCTTCTCTGAACAAGAAAACGACATACGCCTGTAAGATGTCTGTAAGATCTACTTTAAAGTAAAAAACATCTGCGGTCATCAGAGGTCAGAATAACATCTTTACCAGCTCTGCTGAACGAACATTATAAACACTATAAAGGTCTATATAGAGATATGAAGATCCTGCAGAGTTGAGCTCCAACCTCGATCAAACACAACTAACCCAACCTGAAGGAGAACTCAGTCATTGAAGACAGGTGTGTTTGATGCAGGGAGGCAGATCTCCAGGAATATGGTCGAGCACCACTGCTATATGCCATATAGAAATATCTAGACATCTAACAGAGGTTTTGCAGACGCATGTCTTCCAGATGTAAAGGCAAACATTAAATAGACACATGTGTGATGTTCATGTGCTACCAGAGCGGCTGCATGCTGAGTTCATTATTTGTTATGGCATGTTCATGAACAGTTAGAGACCTTTAAAAAGTCTACAGGTTAGGAGAACAGCACACTAACATTACTATAACTAAAACAAGCATGCTGGATATTTGAGAAACATCTGAAATGATCAGCCGCAGAGTTCCTAATCCTGGGAGAAAGCTGATGTGGACGTGAGAGTCTGCTTCACTGTATTCTGCACTTGACAGAGTCAGTTTTCACTGAGGAGTGTTCATATCAGACATTTAGTTCTGTCAGCTATAACGCTTGCTTCACTTTTACTGCATGTAATCTCCATACGCCAGTACTGCACACGTAACACACAACAATAGAGCTGTTCAACACAATGTCCGAGAGTTTTCACTCATGTGCCCTGGACACTTCAGGGGGAAGACTGAGGGAGATCAGCCAAATCTGAAGAGCTTGAAGAACATCAGGACACAAACACTGAGCTCAATCCACTAAACAACACACACACACACACACACACACACACACACACACACACACACACACACACACACACACACCAACTCAGCCAGGTTTGATTATTAAGTGTCAGGACAGCAGTTGAATGCGGATTCTCCTTCATTACGACTGATCTGAGAGCAGCTGTCTGATCTGACCCGACTCTTCTTTGTGTTCAGAGTTTCTGTAATGGTTACAGTGAGAGTGTGTAATGCTGTAATCACCTGTTATGTCATGATAACTCATATAAGAAATGAATATAGGAACCCTAGAAGACGGAGAGGCGGCGGTGAGGTTAATCCTGCTGAGAGACCCTGACGCTGTGGAGGATTCAGGTTAGAGGAGCTCATCAACACTCACCGGCCGCAGAGCAGATCTCCAGCATCATCATCATCATCATCATCAGCAGCATATTGATCCTCATCCTCATGATCAGCGGTGTGTCCATGCCGGCGCTCTGAGGGTCTGATGGAGCTCTCTCTCACACACACACACACACAGGCTTCAGCATGGGGGAAATTCTCTTTCAGGGGAAGGAAAAGCCACTGACCGCCGTTTCCTCCTATTCAACACTGACTGACCAGCGGCCCTCACACACAAACACCTCTGCAGCCCACACACACACACACACACACACACACGTCTGTCCTCATGCCAGTGTGCAGTGTAGTGCACTAACAGGACAGAGACCCTCACACTGCTCAGCAGGGCCGTCTGGGAGGTGTCTGCTGGGCTCTGTTCACAGGTTGCTGCTCCGGGCCCCTTGACTGCAGTGAGGGCCCTCAGATCCTCTGTAGTAGACTAGGGGTCAGGAGGCTCTGAGGGCCACTCTGTAGTCCAGGGGTCTGCACTGCCGCCTGTGTCCAGCAGGGGTTTCTGAAGCGACACTCCGGTCTCCAGATCTGCTCGTCTATCCGGAGCTCATCAGCGCCAGCGCTGCCGGCGGGAATGCAGACGAGCTTTAGATTAATAAAGCGCCAGCAGACGCTGTAGAGCTCTTCACTGAGGAGACACACGGAGACTCTTCCAGTT